GCTGTGCAGGGGAACTAGCACACAGCTGCACATCTGTCCCTGGGGCATTAGGGCCGATGACTTCCTTTCTTCCCCCCAAACTCATCCCTTCCCTGATTAGGCAGAGGACCAGATCAGGCCCTGGGACCCTCCAAATCACACACCTGAAGCCACAACTGGTCACTGGGAGCCTGCCCAGCCAGGCCAGGCTGCTCTCCCAGGACGTGGGCAAGTCACTTTGCCTTTCTGGGGCCCGGTTTCCTCACCTGCGCGTGGGGTGATGCTACTCCCATTAATGAGCTGTAAGGATTATATGAGGTAAGTAAAGTGCCGTATTTTAGGCCTGTTAAATTCACTCATTTTTCATTTTATTCTTCTTTCTCTCTAGGATTTTTTGTAAACCTTTTTGTCTGTGTAAAGCAGAAATAGATGCATCTGAATCAATATACGGTGTTCTCTGCCAAATGGAAAAATTTACTTTAAAATGTTCTAAAAATGTGCTCTAAGATAATGGCCTGGAGGCACACGCCCATTTCTCCCCAAGACAATTGGAGGAAAAAACCTGCTGCTATCTGGGACTCAGGGAGGAGGGAGACGGGGTGGGGGAGCAGGGGAGCGGGGCACGGTGGGGAGAGGCTGGCTGTCAGGGGCAGGGCCCTGGTGGTTTGGGACTGGGGCACTGTGCTCCGAGCCCTCGAGCAGCTGATAGTCCTAATATCCCCTTCCCTGTCAGGGACAGTCCTCATGTCCTCGGGGTTGCCAGGACCCCAGCTCCCGGATTAAGCCCACACCAGCTGCCTTCACTCCTGCCCCACTAGATAATGTTTTTCCTTCCTGTTTGTCTCCTGCCTGGACTCCAGGCTTCTCAAGAGGGGGACTGTTTACTCAGTTCTACTGCTCACTTTTGTGACCTTGGCACTTAGGCCACACCAGGTCAAACCTGAGCTGTATTGGAATTACCCGGCGGCCGTGGGAAGCCACATGGCTGGCTCCATGCCTGGAGTGTCTGATGCTGCTGCAGGGACCACCCTTCATAAAGCCCTCCCCGGCCCCAGGAAGAGTGCCAGTGCTCTCTCCCTGCACTCCTCATCCCTGCGCACCCCTCGCCTCCCACATCGGGGTGCTCTGGTGAGAAGGTGGTCAGCATCACCAGGGCACTGTTAGTGGAACCACTGAGGCACACTGCTCCCGGGGCCTCCTCCCCTGCCCATGTGGGTCACGGACCACTGCAGGGTGGAGGAGAAGAGAGGAGCAGTGCTGGGGGACCCAGGAGCCCCCTAACACCCTGACTAGGAGGACGTTCCCAGAGTGGAGTTTCCTGCCCCCCAGCCAGGACTTCTCCACCATGACTCGACAGTCCAGCCTTGAGAACAGTTGGAAGAGTCCATTACAGTCCGTTACTCCGCAGTGCCGGCATATGGGCAGGGTGGGGTCGGCACTGGTTGGGAAGGGGAAGAGGAAAGCCCAGTGGTCAGCACCAAAGCCAGGGGCTGGAAGCGGGGTGGAGGAGCAGGATGGTGGAATTGTGAGGATGCTCAAGCCCTAGAGACCCCATGGTGCACAACGCCAGGGGGTGCCGTTCACATTTTAATCCCTGGGGAGAGTGACTCCTGCAGTTGTGCAGTGCACAGCCTGTGCAATTTCATGCAATGGTTGGTCTTGCCAAGTCTCCTCTGAGAAATTCCTTCATTTATCTCTCCTGTATACCCACATGGAGAGAGGCATTAGGGCCATGTGGGTGGCCAAAGACAGCCTGCCCTCTTTGGGCTCTTAGGAGAAAAGCCAGGCTACCCAGTGCAGCAAGGAACAAAATGCGAGAATGAGGGCATGGCCAGGAGCTGTGGAGCCAGGGAGAGTGGCTTCACTCTGCCCACTCTGCATGGGGGGCAGCCAGCTCCCTATGGGCCGGTTAAGCCAGCCAGGCTGGAGGCCATCAGGCAGTGGCAGCTGAATCTGCAGCCTCAGCATCTGGAGTTGGGTGGTTTCTTGCTTTTCAGGGAAACCTGAAGCTGCAAACCCTGGGGCTGGTGGGTCTTGTGGGCTGTGGCTGCCCCCAACGCTCCCCTTGCAGCATATGCAGAATCAGGGCTGCGCCTTGGCCCTGTTCCTGGGCAGGGGGACCGTGGGGGCAGAAGCAGCTGAGATACACAGAGACAGCTCCAGGGTGTCTGCCAAGGAGCTCAGACACCTGATCAATCTCATATCACTTGATTCTTGGGCTTGGGGATGCACGCTTCCTCCTGGTTTGCCCAGTTGATGCACTGCCTTTTCCAGGAAGCCTCTGGGGGCCTCTCCCCTGACCCTTGGTGTCTTTGTACTCCTACAGACACTGGAAGTCGGCCCCATCTTCCATCTGCTCTAAGAGTGGGGAAAGTCATGCAGCCACTTCCCAACTACCTGCCATGTGCCAGCTCCAAATTTTGCAAGGGCTCTGACTTTTGCAAGAATCCCAAGGGCACAAAAGGCTGGTCCAGGCAGCCCTGGGAGCAGCTCCTGGCTTCAACCTGGACCTAGGACAGGGGAGACTTCATACTCTGGGACTCACTCCACTTTTGTCACATTACTATTGACTGCACACACTGCTTCACTTGTCTGTCACCCCACCAGATGGGAGCCACTTCTTTTTTTTTTTTTTTTTTTTTTTTTTTTGAGACAGAATCTCACTCTGTTGCCTGGGCTAGAGTGCCATGGCATTAGCCTAGCTCACAGCAACCTCAAACTCCTGGGCTCAAGCGATCCTCCTGCCTCAGCCTCCCGAGTAGCTGGGACTACAGGCATGCATCACTATGCCTGGCTAATTTTTTTCTCTATATATTTTAGTTGGCCAATTAATTTCTTTCTATTTTTAGTAGAGATGGGGTCTTGCTCTTGCTCAGGCTGGTTTCGAACTCCTGACCTTGAGCGATCCGTCGCCTTGGCCTCCCAGAGTGCTAGGATTACAGGCATGAGCCACCGCACAGCCTTATTCATTTCTGCCTCTAGCACCTAGCCCAGGGCCTGGCATACAGTAGGTGCTCAATTAATATTTGGGGCTTGAATGATGTAATGGCCAGATTCTGAGCCTGAGGGTGGGGAGTGCTTGTGAGACGTAGCTGTTCTCCCCACGACCTAGCTGGGGCCCCCTGCACCCAGTGGCAATGAAATCACAATACCGTGAATTTCTAATACTGCTGCAGCCTGGGTACGGAGCTGGCATGCAATGGTGCACACTCTCCCTTCAAGGTCCAAAGGGGTGCATGGTGGTGGGGCCCTGCCCCTAATAATCTCCTTCACCCATCCCCACATACTAATGTTAATATTAAAACTAACATTCTTTGATGTGAATGATTTGCATTTCCTAGTCAGGTAAAGTGAATAACAGCTTCTGTAAAGTCTTCCCCATTTTATGGATATGAAATATACAATCTAAGTAAAAAGCAGGCACTTGCTATGCAAATAACGGCAGCTATCAGGGAAGTTCCCTTTCCTGCCCCATGACTGCCCCGTGTAGAAATCCCGGGCTTCCCCCAGGACGTGAGGTCCACCTTCCCCTACCGAGAGGAGCTGAGCAGGCACATCCCAGCACCCAGCCCGCGCCTGGCACGGGCACAGCTGTAATAACAAGGGTCAAATGCTGGAGAGCAGGCCCATGGGGAGGTGCCTGCGGGGTTTGCCCTGCGGGAGGCTGTCATTACTTCCACTTTACAGGTGAGAAAACTGAGGCCCAGGCTTCCTCTGGGCCCCAGAGTTGGCTCCTGTCTGGCCTGGATCTACTGTGCCCTAATCCCACCCGGGGCCTGCATTCCAGCTGCCTCCAGGATGGCGAGGGCTGGAGGTACCTCGCCACAGACGTGAGTAACAGCTGGTCACCTGGTTGGCACCAGGCTCTGATGTCGTCTGCTCTCTTCCCCTTAGGTTTTCCTCCTCCTCCTCCCTGAGCTGCCCCAACTCACACTTTCCAGCGTCTCATTCTCAGGGTGTTTCTGCAGATGGGGGCTGCCCTGTATCCCAGACCCAAGCACAGCAGCACGGCGCCCGGGCTTTGCTGTCACTGGGCCCCTTCAGCCTTAGGGGCCAAAAGGCTCCACTGACCCCTGTCCCTCTCCGCATCCCACCCCTGGCCTCCCACAGCTGACCTGAGAGGAGAGACGACAGAAGACGCCAGTTTCAAATAAGGGTTTAAAAGCTCAGTTATAGCCACACACATCTTAATTGGTGCATTTCTATTTTCTCTGTGGGCATTTTTTCCTTTCTGACGGACTCTTACAAACATTTTACTGTTATATTTCTCGTAATACTGCCTGGAATCGTTATTTAGACATCATAAAAAAATCATTATATTTTTAAAAGGTAGGCTGAGAAGTTCCTACAAAAGCTCAGGCACACACATAGCCCAATCCACACACAAATACACATACGTGCAAGTTTCATCTGATGGAAAACAAGTTTATCACCACACCACTTTGCGAAATAAAAGTGAATGAATAATTTATAGAGCTTTTTTTTACCAACATCTAGATTTTCAAATCATTCTAGAAAAATCCAGTTCAATTACTTGCAGCAATAGTTCTGTGATAAACCAATGCAGAAAAGCTTACCAGTAAGTGAAATTTATAATCCCAATGGGCCTGCATTCCACAGAAATGCATCGTAAACGCTATCATCTTTTTAAAAACACACACTCACACACACCAGATCCCACGAAGCTGTTGCTGTCACTAAAGGAAGGCACCGTGTGTGATTAAATCCTTAAACCTGTTACTTTGCAAAAGCTCCTGATTTAATAGCCTGGACTCCCCTCCCTCAAAAGGGGGCCATGAAAAAGTGCAGAAGAGAACGTTTCCCATCTGATTTTGGCAAGAACCGAATTGTACTGCACTCTTTGCTGCCAGTTCCAAGGTGGCACAGAGCCCAGTAGGTGTTAAGTTCTTTGGACTCCCCGGAGATTCGAGGGGTGCACTAGGCCAGGGACTGGTGGGGCTGGTGGGAGGGACCCGCACACACCCCATGCCACCTTGGGTCTGCACCTTAAGCAGACTTACCAACAGCAGGCTGGTGCGACATCTGGCTGGCACAAGGGTCTGAAGCTTGAGTCCCTTGACAATCCCACTGTGGTCCGGGCCACCCCTTCTCGCTCCGTCTCCAGCCTGTGGACAGCCTGACTGTGTTCTGACTGTTGGTTTCTCAGAAGGCGAAGGGCCTGCCAGGGGCTTGGACAGCAGGGCTGCCTCCCCCTCAGCCTGTGCGCCAGCTCCTGGCCACAGGGCCGGGCGGGAGTGGTGACTGATGCTTGGTTAGAGAGTGCGCTGGGAGACAGCAGTCAGGCCTGATACTTCCTGTTTGGGGAGGAAACCTCACTGGTGATAATTAGTGGCTCAGACTCAGGTCTCTCTGCTACAGGAACTGAGGCGGGACGACCAGTAGAACCCAGGATGCATAAAATGAATAAATGTCATCTGACACGCACACGCACATGAGAGAGAGAAAGAAAGGGGGGATGGGGCATTTACTCTTCAGGATACAAAGACAAACATAATGGCTGTAGAAAGTGGCAATTTATCAAATTCCGTGAGGGAAATTTATTGCAATCACCATGGCTGCCAGTGGCTTAGTGGTAATTCTCTCGGCACTTTGTACCGACAAAGGCTTCATTGTCATCTTTACTTGCTAGTCAGTGCCCACGGCGGGAAGACAGACAGACAGACAGACAGACAGAAAAATCCATAACAGAAGACAGCACGGACCCAAGGGCGAAGCGTGGACTAGGGACACGGGCACGTGTGGCTGTGGATGGCTTTTCCGTTGACCTGGAGGCCACACCAGCAGCCCACAGGAGGCCAGAAGTTTGGAGGCTTTTGTATCACTGAAGTAAACTGTGCTAAGTCCCTTCTTAGGGACAAGTACATTCAATTGTTTTCAGCTTGTCTGCAAACCAGCAATCTTGGCGTACATCAGCTCGAAGTATAACCCTGGGCATTTGATAACCAGAACACACACCGCCAGGCCCTGGGCAGGGTCACTCTGTTATTGTTAACACCAACGACCCGAATGGGCCCGCAGAGTGCTCTGACTTCTGTGGCCTCCTGCGTCTGTCTGTCTTACTCGAGTGGGAGCTCCCGTGGGCACCGTTAGATCCCTGAATCTCCCCGGAGCCCAGCACAGGCCCGTGCACAGACTGACCCCCCACTGCCCGCCTCCCAGTGCCTGCCCCTCCGCTCCGGCCAACACCACGACTTCCACCAAGCTCGACATCCTCCTGGCCCATCCGAATGCCCCTTCCTCGAAGGTCCCACCCAAGCACCTGCCGGCTCCCCGCAGCGCCCCCACCCAGCAATCTCGCCCCACTCTGAATTCAGAGGGGCGCTGTGTTAGCTGGTGGATGTGATTAGACAGACCGGGCTGTGAATTGAGGGTCAGCCACGTGCCAGCACGGTGACTGTGGGCAGGCTGCTTTCCCTCTCTGGTCTGACAATTATGCAAAACAGTGAATGTGGACCCCCCCACCCCCCGAAAACACCTCCCTTAGGTGGCTCCTGTGCACACTTTTCCTTGCTCTGCCGTGGGCCGATCACCACACACAGCCCCGACCTCCCTGCCTCTGGCGCCCTGCTGCTCTTTGGTCACTCAGCAGGGTCAGCTGAGGGCAGGGACCTGTGTGTCCCCCACTGCTGCACATCCACACGTGAGGCCGGTAGGTGCATGTAGGGCCCGTGGGGCTCACTGGTGGACACCAGAGTACCCAGGGAGCTTAGGCAGCAGGTTTCTGGGCAGCTACAGGCCCAGCGTCCCTGACAGAGGTGGGGGGCGGCGGGAGTGTTCAGGTCCCTGTGTTCTTACCCAAGCTGCTGGGTGGTCTCTGGGTCCCCTTGGAGAAGCCGTACGGTGAGGGAACCACATTTCCTTAGGAAAGCAAGCCTTCCAAGGCGTGGGCGGGCCAGGAGCTCACAGGCACCCCACTTCCAGGAGGGCCCCAGGTCAGCTGCGACACCTGCTCCCTGTGGTTCGCACTGAGCTCCCTCCATCTTAGCACGCCCCTCTCCTCGGCACTCCACTCACAGCCACACCAGACGTTCAGGAGAGTTCTAGCACGGGTCATGTGAGGACAAAAAGCGGCTATTCCAGAACTCCAGAGCTCACACCAGCACGGTGTCGTGAGGTCTCCCGTTTGGGCTGTGGACCCAGGAATAGCCTCCTGAGCCTGGACCGCCAGGAGGGCAGAGCTTTCCCGACGGAACCCGCCCTCCCCATCATAGTCCTTGGCTGCTGGGCCCAGCGCCATTTTCCTCCCCCCTAGTTCCAGGAACCACCTTGTTTCTGGCAAGGCTGAAGCCATCTCCAAGGACCAGCCACAAAGCGCCTGGTCTCACTTCCCACAGCTGCTCTGGTCCCCCACCCAGGTGAGGGCTGATCCACTGGACAGCGGTGACTCCCACACCCTCCTGCACCCAGGGCGCAGGCCTGGCTAGTCATCCGGAAAGCCTCGGCACAGCCCCCCTCTGCCAGGAAGCCCGCGGCAGCAACGTGCAGGCCGGGCTCCCCTGCAGGGCCCAGCTCACAGCCACCCTGACCTCCAGCTGTGCACCCAGAGGGCGTCCCCTTCAGGGAGACCCTCACCCCAGCTGTGCTGGGTCTCAGCCCCAGGCATGCCTTCTCTCTCTCAAGCCCACCACAAATCACAAGCCGACGCTCCCCACATCTGGACAGTCACCTCACCAGCAGCAGGTACATATGGTAACGGGAAGGTCAGTCCATCATTGACCCTACCGCAGTGGCTTTGAGACGGCCCACTACTCCGAATAAAGTGTACGAGGCCCATCAGCCAATCCTCAAATCCCTTCCATTTCCCTGTGATTGGTTTTATAATCCTAGGTCTGTATTTTTTTAGAAACAATTTGATCTGACAGCTCAAGAAGGCTTCACAATGTCCTGTTTGCTTAGATCCCACCTGGCTCTCATTCAGCGGAAGTCGGAGACAGGAGTAAGCTACTGCCTGATTGCAGAACAATCAGTGCTCACCTGTGCCCGTTCTGCCAGGTGACTATGGGGACGTACAAGGACAGACTGATTGGGAAGAGTTGAGCACCAAGTAATTCCCCAGCGACAATGTTCTTATGATGCCAAAGTGGCCAGACACCGGTCTATTCAGCCACACCTGAAGGGGAGGGGAACATTCTGCCCCTGGGCCGAGCTGGCGATAAGGAGTGTGTGACCCACTGGCAGTTGCCCATCGGCCCTGACAGCAGGCACAGCAGTGGGTACCTCCAGCTCGGGGCTGTGGGGATATCTCTAATTTGGCAGCCTGTCTTACATCAGCGGTGGGGCCTGGGCCTCACTGGCACTGCATCTCCTCACTTGTATTCAGAAATACAAGACGGGCATGGGTGTTTACAGGGTGGTGAGTGACAGCAACACTCCTTCTGCCAGAAGTGGGGCTCAGCCGGTCTTGCAGTTCCTGGCACAAAGTTAGTGCTCAATAAATGTTTGCTGAATGAATAAGTGATGAGGCAGAATTTGGACATGCAAGAGTCTCAGGTTTGGAATCAAAAGAAGAGGCTGGAGTCACATAAGTCCTTGGGAAAGTTACATGGCTGGGAGAATAACACCATCTACTTCCTAAGAGTCTTGAGTTACAAATGACATCAGGTATACAATGTGCTTGGCCCAGGGCCGGCCATGAAGGAGGCTGAATGCTCAGTGACTAGGACTGTCATTTTAGGGTGATGGTGGCGGTGTATGGCATGCCAAGGCTGTGAAGGCTGACAGGTTGGAGCATGCAGAGGTCTGAGATCTGTGGGAAGTCATGTTGGACAGGTAGGTGGGCCCAGTTGCAGGGGGCAGATGGGAGGATGAGACTTCTGCGGCCCAATTTTGAGTACCCCTAGAGTGTCCTGTCCCCACACCTTGCCTTCTCCTCTCCAAATCCTGTGACCTTCACAGCCTCTCAAATTGGGATGGGGCTGGCAGAGGTGGGGCAGGAGTGAAAAAAGAGGCACATGCCCCTCTAGACCCCAGAAGGAAAGAAAGGAGCCAACTTGGCTTTCAGTTTTCATAACTACTTAAACTGGTAGACTTCCTTGTTTTAAATCAAGAGGCCCATTGCCAGTCTAGATGCTAGGAAGCAGTTTCATGGAGAACTTAACTTACTCGGCTCAGGCCTGCCCAGCCCAGGAAGACCTGGCCACTATGAATGACAAGGAGGGCAGGAAGGAGTGAGTCCAGCCTCAGCTGGAAGGCAAGGGAGCCTGACTTCCCCCGAATGGCTAGCTTCCCTGCCCTGTCCCAAACTGCCTGAAAGTCACCCCAGCCTGCTGAGGGTTTCATTTGCAGCTGGACAGGGAGTGAAGCAGGCAGCACAGACTTCTTTTCCAAGCCCTGGGAGACATCTAGCCACGACCAGGACACTGAGCTGGGAACCCTAGGCTTTAGAGCCAACGCCAGCTTCAAGGGGACCTGGAAGCCACTCTCTGTGCCTCAGTTACCTTCTCTAAGAAACTGAGAGGTTGAGATGAGAAGTGACATGAGCCTGCAAGCTTCCCAGCTGGGTAACGCTCAAACCCCAGGGGAGGACAAGGGATCTGATATTTACTGCACTCCTAAAACTCAGCACTTTACACAATTAACCTTCCGGCCAGGCATTATTGTCCCCGTTTAATGAGGATATCCTGTTCTAAGCCTTTGGCAAGGTTTTACAGATAAAAGAGCAGGTTCAGAGAGCTGAGGGCCTCGTGTTATAGGGTGAAGAGCTGAGGTTCAAACTCAGCCCATCAGACTCCGAAGCCAGGCTCTTGCCCCAGTGCTCAGCCAGCTGCCCTTGCCCCACCCATCGCTCAGGTGTGGGGGTTTGGACTGCAGTCAAGAACTTTCACTTTTTAACTACCTGAAGCCCTGCCCAGCACCCTGGTCTCTGATAAGTCCAAGGAGGGAAGGGCCATGGGACAGAACAGGAAATATAAATGGAGGAGGAATCTACTTGTCTGTCTCTAGGCTGGAAAGGGCATGTATGTGGTCCCAGTTTAACCAGGCCAGGTCCTGGGGACCTCCGCAAGCTTGGGTAGGCTATTCAACTCTCACGTAAACAGGTGGCCTGGCCTGAGTTCCCTACCGTCTCTAAGGCCAGCTTCACCCCATGCCAATTCCATATCTTCCTCCCAGCTTGCTAGCAGAGGCCACCTGTCCACTACTCAAGGTCCCTTCAGGAAGCCTTCCCTCCCTCCACCTCTCCCCCAGTGACACCGTCCATGTACCCATTCATCCATTAGACATTGACTACGCACCAGCTCCCTGCCAGCCCCTCTGCAGGCCACTGGGGACAGAGATGAGTAAGACACAGTCTAGGTCCTCCAGGGCTCCTGGAGGACTTGGTCAGCTGCAGGTAGGACTTGGGCATCTATATTTTTCACAAACCTTGCTGGTGACTGAGGGGGCACACCCAAATGAGATCCTTTGGTTTGTGGACATTCTGGCCCCCAGCACTGCATTCTTTGGGCTGGCAGAATCCTCTGAGGACATGGCCTGTCTCTCTCCACTAGTAGGTTCCTCTGGGCTCCCAAGTCAGATAAACCTGGGTTCAAATCCTACTTCTGCAATTTGTTCCCTGTGCACCCTTGCAAAATACCCAGGCTTTCTGAGGCTCAGTTTCCCCATCTGTAACAAGAGGTAATAATGAGGCTTTCCTGTTGGCATATTGTGTGCAAAGCCCTTAGCAAGGTGCCTGGCACACATAAAGGTACAATAAATATTTGCTATTAATCACATTATGGCTGCACTCCGGTGGATAGAAATACCTCCCTGGGGTATTTCCAGAACCGGATTCTGGAGCCATCTCAGAGGTGGCCCTGGATACCTGGGAGGCCTCTCAGTGTCTTCTGCCAGGGCTCCAACAGACCTGCCTGCATTTTCCCTGCAGATCGGCCTCCTGGCCCCCCAACGACTTATTAGCGGGGTTCACCCTCCCTTCATTTACCCAGAGTGATCAAAGTTCCAACCACACTGCTCCGGGCAGCCTGCCCCTAAATTTCGGGAAGTGGGCAGGCGGGGGAACTTTGCACTGGGCGGTCCAGCCTCCTCTGGACCAAAGTCAGGCGCCTGGGTCTCTGCTTTGCCCTGAGGCTGCGTAAGGGTTGGGAGGCTGGGCAAAGAAAGAACCTGGAAAATCCCGCCCACGGCTGCCACTCCTCCCCTGGGACGGGCTGGCCAGAGCCGCGGGGCACATGGGACCTGTAGACTCGGCCAGGGAGGGGCGCCTACGTCTGCACCCCGGCTTGGGCCGCCTTGCCTGCGCCCGCCACTGCCGCCGCCTGCTCTGCCCACTAGCCCGGCGCGCGCGGCTTCGGTCCCAGGAAGGCAGGCTCACAGGGCGGGGGCCCAGGACCCAGTTTCTCTGCCGCCGGGCGCACGTGGCTCAGTCCCAGGGGACCGGGTCGCCTCCAGACCTGTGGAGGCGCCCGGGCTCCCCGCGGCGATGGCGCAGGGTGCTACT